TGTTGTTTGGCGGGCCCGGGCTGGGGATTCGAACCCGCCACCTTAGGTGTACGTGGCTGGCGCCTTAGCCGCTTGAGCCACAGGCGCCGAGCCATGACCTGCAATTTTAAACTTCTATTAGTTCTTCAGCCATCAGCTCGATAAGACGTCCCTTTCCAGGTTTACTAAGCCCACCTCTCAGGTAAGGTACTTCTCCACAAAGGTTTTATACCTATGCTTAGCTTTATCATAAAATTTATCATACTGATTAGAAACTGTATACTTATCTTTCTCCCACTGGTATTTGGGCTTCATGAAGGTAGGGCCTCTGACGTGTCTTAATACCCACAATTGCCACTATTAATTTAAACATTTACAGAATGCCTAAATTCCAGGCATTTACCCATCTATGTAATTTACATCAAGGTACCTAGTACATATTAGGCATACAATAAATGTGAATTGAATTAGATGTTGTAACTGAAAAAAATGAGTTAATCAGTGCCCTGTGAGTGGTACCTAACAGCCCTCCATGTACACCAAAAGAATATTTTACCAAATTTAAATCGGGCCACCAGATTCTGAAAATAAGTGGTACCTAACAGCCCTCCATGTACACCCAAAGGATATTTTATCAAATTTTAAAATCTCCCTTCCTCCCAAATAGAGGCATGAAAGTCTACACTCTCTCAGACAGATGTACTCAGGAATCCATCTTTCTGCCTTCATATCAACAAAGTTTCTGATATTAAAATGTTTCATGGGGGCTGGGCACAGATGCTTGTAGTCCCAGTACTTGGGAGTGCCAAGGCAGATGCATTGCCTGAGCTCATGAGTTTGAGACCAGTCTGAGCTAGTGCGAGACGCTGTCTCTAAAAAATAGCCAGGGACTGTGGCAGGAGCCTGTAATCCCAGCTACTTGGGAGGCTAAGGCGAGAGGAACGCCTGAACCCGAGAGCTTGAGGTTCATGTGAGCTAAGACACCACAGAACTATACCAAGGGTGACCAAGTGAGACTGTCTCCAAAAAAAAAAAAAAAAGTTTTGTTTTAGGCAGAGCATGCCTATAATCCTAGCACTCTCAGAGGCTGAGGTGGGTGGATTGCTTAAGTTTACGGGTTCTCAAGCAGCCTGAGCAAAAGCGAGACCCCATTTCTACTAAAAATAGAAAAACTGAGGCAAGAGGATTGCTTGAACCCAAGCTTTGGAGGTTGCTGTGACCTAAGATGCCACGACACTCTACCCAGGGCAACAGCTTGAGACTCTATCTAAAAAAAATAAAAAAATAAAAAGGCTTAGAACCAAGGTACCAGCCACATACACCTGAGCTGGCAGGTTTGAATCCAGTCTGTGCCCGCCAAACAAAAGTGACAGCTGCAACCAAAAAATAGCTGATGTGGTGGCAAGTGCCTGTAGTCCCAGCTATTTGGGAGGCGGAGGGAGGAGAATCGCTTGAGCCCAGTAGTTGGAGGTTCCTGTGAGCTGTGATGCCACAGCTCTCTACAAAAGGTGACAGCTTGAGGCTCTGTCTCAAAAATAAATAAATAATTCTATAATTTTTTTCCTGAATTGACAATGAAATGCATACTGCTACTCCCAACAGGAAATGCCACCTTATCAAAGCTACAAAGGTGTTGACACTGATAACATATACAGCCAATTTCCCTTCTTCTTGTGGCCAAAAGATCCAGCAAACTGGCCAGACACTGTGGCTCGCACCTGTAATCCTAGCATTCTGGGAGGCTGAATTGGGTGGAATGCTTGAGCTCTGAAGTCTGAGACCAGCCTGAGCAAAATTGAGACCCCATCTATACTAAAATAGAAAACCTGAGGCAAGAGGATCACTTGAGCCCAAGTATGGGAGGTTGCTGTGACCTATGATGCCACAATATTCTACCAAAGGTGACAAGGTGAGATGCCATCTCAAAAAAAAAAAAAAAAAGCTCGGCGCCTGTGGCTCAAGCGGCTAAGGCGCCAGCCACATACACCTAAGGTGGCTGGTTTGAATCCTTAGCCCGGGACCGCCAAACAACAATGATGGCTGCAACCAAAAAAT